ACCAGGCGGAAATTCCACTTGCTACTCTCGATTTAACGCTTCACGGACCATCACAAGGCGATAGCAGGAACTGACATCAAGAGTCTCGTTACAACCGGAATGAAGCTTATCCCTCCGTGACTGTCCCATTTATTTACGGGGTTCCTTTTCGAACATTGGCAATATAACTTGTTCTCCACAAATGTTTGAGAAAAATTCCTTTTCCCGAAGGCAGGCAAGCAGGACATACAAGCATTGATTGAGGAACTCATCCCCATATTTTGACAACGCAGGTGGAAGTTCGTTCGAAATAAAAGCAGGGTGGCATTCGGTAGAACATATGCAGTCATAAACCTCTGAGCGCGTAAGTGGTTTTAGGTTATTCCGAGAAATAAAGATAGTGACGCCAATTTATTTCATTAGGGTTTCACTAACAAGTGGTCTTCATGGACTGGTGACAAATACCGACCTTCGAGCACTTCTGGCATCATGTGTCTCTCCCAGTTCTTTAGTGTTGTGTCTGTCAAGCTTCACGGTGGGCGCGGACACTAATTTTCCTTCGATTGTTATCAGTCCGGCTGGAATATGCCCGAGTAAGACGCAACTATTTGACGGAGACTCAAGCTGTAACAATTTGATAAAATTGTTATAGCTTGAGGCTTGGGGCGAGACGGCCCAAGGGGTTAGAGCGCGAACTTACTGACCGGAAGGTCCGTGGTTCGAACCCGACCTCTACCTATCGACTTCCCCCATCTAGGCTTGGGCGACTTGGCAGTATCCCAGCCCTCGTGCCTCCTTCGTGTGGCATGGCAGCTAGGCACCGAAAGGGTACTACAGATGAACGATTATTATTATTATTTCATCAAATATCCAGTGCTCGAGTGGAGCCAGAAGTGCCGCACTGCAGGAGAAACCCTCGGCAGTGTGCGAAGATGTGGCGACCTCTTTCCAATGTGAATTCACATCCGACGGTAGAGAAGTTGGAAGGGTCCAGAAGAAAGTTTCGACAAACTCGCTCAACGTCAGGGTCTGTGAATTTTAAGTTGACAGGCGGGCTTTCCACCCCTTGCAAGGCCTTGGAAAGTGAAGAAAAGTGACCCCGGATGAGTGCATGGTCAGAATCCACAAAAGTCCCCAAAAGGATCGACAGGCGGTTGTCGATCTCCGCTATCCGTAAATGATGGCGAAGTGATCAATTTGGTCCATAGCTAACGTGAAATGGTCATTTCGGAAGTTAACATTGCATAAAAAAGTCTGTAGTCAGCACACAGCTGGAGCAGTTGTTCGTCGCCGTCTGCGCCTTGCAAGCCTGATTTAAGTCGATTGCCCGATTGGCTTTCAAATGCCATAATTCTACCCTCTGGTGCATCCAAATCCAAGGCACTCATGATATCTGAGCTTTTAGCCCAAAGTGACAGTGCATTAAGGCGTTATAAAACTAGCTTTTGATGATATCGCAACTATATTTGGTTGGGACGACAAACAGGCAACGATCAACAATCCGAATGTAAGATTCCTTCACGGACGTTGCCAGACGAACCGCACAGAAGCAACTAGCAGGAAAGGACTTTTCCACCGAGGCAACGGGAGAGACACTGAGCCCTGTACAGCTGGCCGCAGTAGCCGCAGGAGTGCCGGAAGTGAGAGGAGAGGAGGGACATCAGACCAACATTTGTGCTTGGATTATGAACTCTTTTTACCGATACGCAGCATACATTACTTTCAAGTGAGTCCAGTGGGCGAGCAGGAGCAGCCTGATGTCCTGCTTGTTTCAGAATGCCAACACTAAATAGCAGACAGATGAACCAAACTTAGATTGTTGGAGATTACTTTCGAGACGCCTGAGGTTGCCGGTACCAACTACTAAACAGCGACAGATGAACCAAACTTAGATTGTTGGAGATTACTTTCGAGACGCCTGAGGTTGCCGGTACCAACTGACCCGTAGATATCGGAGAGAGACGAAAAAAGTCGTCGATCTTGATGGGCAGACCTACAAGAACATCATTATTGGACTGGAAAATCGAAGTGACAAGGAAGTGATCGTGGATCACACCATCTTGGACAACTCACAGTCTAATGCCCAACAGCCTAACGGAACTCTGTGGAGAAGGTCCACTGAAAACTGGTTCTGCCTAGACAGTTTGAAAATTTAAAGTGGTGGCAGCCGGTGAACGCTCACATTACTAGGGTGAATCCTGTTGAGCTACTTATACCTTAGAGGTGATATCTAATGGTTCGAAACTAAACGTTAACCGCTTGGCATCTGCATCAAGTTACCGGAGAATCGGCAGATTACGGGCGTTTCGCTGCGTCCAATCTGCCTGTAACTAGTAAAACCAACGAAGTTAATACGGGTTTCCTGTCAGTGCAATCCAAAAGTGTCCACCGGGCAGAACTAAGGGGACAGGGTGAAAGAGCGTAATTCATCCAGCTGAGTTAGCCAGTTATAAATAATAATGATAAGTAAAGGATAATTGATCATGTGTAACAACATCTTGGTGCCTAGATGCCATGTCATCCGAAGGAAGTACGAAGGCTAGGATAGTGCTGGGTTGCCCAAGCCTAGACAGGGGATGTCGAGATGCAGAGGTCGGGTTCGAACAACGGACCTTTCGGTCATTAAATTCGCGCTCTAACCACTGATACATCTCGCCTCACCCAGCTAGTTACACCGTGTATAAATCACCTTCGGAGGGGAAGTGATTTATGTCTAACTCAGTGGTAACCGCATTCGCGCATCTATAGAATCCTAAAGACATTTTAAGAAAAGAGCGTGGTCACAGTTATCATGGCAGCGCTGGACAGTGCTATCTATAGTCAACAGCGTTGCTGTTGACTGTCCTGGTGACTAATAAAACATGTCAATCAGTAGGCGGCTCGAATGGTGAAATGTGATGTTAGGAGTGAATCAGTACAAGGCGGTAAACCAGCCTCCAGCGGATCTAATTGTAGGTCCACTGGAAACGCACAGTCCAGTTGACGGCGACTCATTAAAAGATGAATAAAAGAGAGTGGAAAAACTAGGCACTCAGCTTTTAGGACGGTCTACTCGAGCTGTCCGACTCGATCAAACAAACACTGGATTTCGTCGAAATCAACAGGCCTTAAGGATGCCAAAAAATCGTACTAGTAATTAACGGCCACGGTCTCTCAAACACCGAATGACCAAGAGCTTGAAGAATGACAGATGACGCTGGTGGATGGAGAAGGCTCGGGAGAAGCCTATCACTACAGAAAACAGCCGGGCTCTATTCCGGCTGATCAGGTCAACTGGTCAAAAAACGGACATCAACGAAACGACTTGCAGAAAAGCTGGAACAGCAATTCATTCGCAGAACCGTCATCTTGAGTGATAGGTTGTGCCTCCTTCAGCATAATATGTGGAAGAAACCAACAAACTTGAGTGAAGCATCGACACGCGTCCGCCATTGGTAACATACATTCACTGCCGGATATCAGCAATCCCAGGCGACAAAGCACCCGGCCCAAATGGTTTGCACTCGTCTTCAAAGGTGATGAAGCCATGACGAACAGTCTGACGACCATATTACAGAAGATATGGAGGGAAAGCAGAACAATGGAGCGAGGAGCATCGACCGTCACCCAGCCCAGCTCTTTTTGCCCAGCCCTGTACTGAGTGGAAAACCGATGCGAACAGTTTACGATTTGGCAACGGAATATGAAATCACCAACCAGTAAACTCGACAACTGCTCCTCCCTGGATGAGGATTCTGGGTCCCCGCTCATCAGTGGTTAGTAAGACTGACAGACATGGCTCAACCACGCAATCGATGAGGTTTCGGAACTACAGCTATCGTCTTCAGTGTATCGTCAGTATAACAGCTGCCCAAACTGTGCACATGGTGCAGTGGTTATAGCTACCACATTTTCGTCCACCGATGACCTGGGGATGTGTGGATGGGCAGCCACACAATGAAGACGGTGATGTAATTGACGGGTGGTTGAATGGGGTGTCGGTGGGCCTTTCATTCTAGAGACAGAAAGAGGAAGCAAGACATGGAGGGCGAAAACTTGATCAAAGCGCACAATCAGGGCACAATTGGACCGTATCTGTACTGTCTCGTGGTCCTCATCCAGGAGGACGGCAACGATCAGCGCAACTGAGTTTTCTGATAATGGCCTTCATAATAAATAATCGTTCAGCTGTAGCACCCTTTTGGTGCCTAGCTACCATGCCACACGAAGGAGGCACGAGGGCTGGGATACTGCCAGGTCGCCCAAGCCTAGACAGGGACCTTCTAGTCAGTAAATTCGCGCCCTAACCAATTGATCCATCTCACCCCTTAACACTTCGTTGCCAAGTAATTGCTTAACTTCCCTTGGCTCGTTTCCAACCTTCGCGTGGTTGCGCAAAAAAGGCTCTTTGAGGAAGTTGGTCGGTTGAACATAGGAGCCACGTGATCAAGCTGGCGCAACCTATGGAATCAGGTCAGTTCACGCACCATGTGCCTGTTATTTCTTCAGAAAATCATTCGATGTGTCCTTGCATTACTGGTTCTACGTTGCCACCAAACTCGTGATGCCTAGCGGTGAAAGACAAGATTTTTCAACGTCCTAAGCTCGTAATGAGCAAGCGTCTGGCCCACATAACGACATATGACGCACTGAAACAACGTAATCTCGACTCTTGACTGAGAAACCACCACTTCTGCGCTGGCCTTCCCAAGAGGGATGGAAATATCGTTTTTGGCTACACTTTTCGGGAAGCCGATACAGTGGGGCATATTGGTATTGGACCAACAGAGGGACCCAGTCCGGTGGCCCCACTGAATAAAAAACAAACTCAGATAACCGGAGGGCACAACTTTCGTGGGAGATGTCTAAATCCGAGTTGATCTACCTCGCTCTTATATATGATAGACTTCAAGTACCACGAGTGAACTTGTTAGGTTTTAAGGCCCAACAAAGTGGCCATAAGTTAGCTTCCTTAATTTAACCTGGAAACTGCAGAAGTTATTCCACATTTCAGTAAAGTATTCACGAAACGGATCACTTACCAGGGCTTTCAACGCGTTTGTAATGGTAGGGGTTGATGCAAACTTCGTTTTCTTTAGCAGAAAAAGGGAAGCGACAACAGTCAAGCGGTTTTAACTCATGATGGCTCTGAAGATCGGGCCAGCGCCATACACGACAGTAGATGACATGGGGAAGGCCCTTCCGGTGAGAAACCTGAAGCCGACCATCTAACGAACGTGGAATGGTAACACATTCTGAAGGTTCTCCGGGATTTCCAAGTGCTCGTTCAAGTGCTTCTAGTGCACCTTTCTTCTTCTTCAATTTCTTCACCAACGAGTCCACTGCCTTTTCCGCCCACTTCTCTTCTTCGTCGCCCTGTTTCCACCCAAGTAACCTCTTGACAGCAGGTGAGGTGAAAGAAAAAAGACTATTGAGACTAGAAATTGGTGCGGACATTATTATCTAAGTCTGCTATGTCTGTCACAGGACGAAAAAGGCGAGTTGTTCACCACCCTACATGCTCGGAATCCGCATTCGACACGATGGTAAGGAGGCTGGGCGACACAACCACTGCGTTTTCATTGGTTGATATGCGACCACAAGGTTTCTGGCGGATACGCTGATTTTCATTGGTTCACGGCGACCACAAGGTTTCTGGCGGATACGCTGAAGAAAAGCACCTCTTGAAGGTCAAGGTGGGCTACAGGTGGTAGCGTTGCTGTTAGTGGGGTATCCTAGACCCTAAATGTCAATAGGTCCAGTAGGTGTGTGCACGAGTAATAGATGCAATTCCAGGTGCGCCTGAAGTTAGGGAAAATCTCTCCCTAACCATTTGCGACTGTTGCTGTGATGGTCTCAATTTTGATTTTTTATGGCTCTCTTCTTTTTGTCAACATTGACATGGTCTGCTGACTTGTTTAACCTCACTACACTCCCCTCCACTTGGTAAGCTTATGGGTAGATGACGTAGGGTGCAATATCGGTACATGGAGCTGAGTCACCAGTTAGGCTGAGAACGCTCTGCTCTCTACTGCCTCGTGACCTTATTTACCTTGTGGCGTAATCCCACCTTCTATCTGTCCCGACTATCATGACCTGCCGTGCGACTTTTGCTTTTGAATTGTGGGTGCTATCTAACTACTTCACAGTGTTATGCACAGACCCGATTTTCCTTGGTCTTCTTCCGTGTTCCTCTACGGCGCTTCGTCATGCGCTGAGGTCTCACCTTTAGTGACAGCATGTTCAATTTTTATAATCACTCAAATTTGGGGTGAGATAATTGGTGGAGCCCATTACCTGTGACTGCCGATGAGACCTAAGAAATAAATGCGTGAGCACATGGGCCATTTCTTAACGTTGCCACTCAGGATGGTTTGAAGAAGTCAGGTTGGATGGACTTTAGATATCCTCAACTGATGTGTCCATCATGGTAATAGTTTCTGAACCGGTGTGGAATGAACAGCAATTGGCTCCACATAGCGACACAATCGTTTGACATTTTTCTATCCGATGCCGCCGCCCCATAATACGAGTCCGAATTTGTGTTTCCGAAATTTGGAGGCCGCGTACGTGCTTTAAGGCATTACAGTTGATTTGACGAAGTATTATCTATATATTTCACGTTTCCAACCAATAGTAACGAGAGGTGGGAAGTTGTTTCGGGGCGTGGGAAAATCTGAAGGAGGCCTCATTTCCCCCCAGAACACTTTCTTTAGCCGACCAAGGAGATTGCGTTCGCTCTCAGATTTTGCGACGTTGAATGCCCATCAGTGGTGATGAACACCACTGGGACTATGCAAAACGTATGTTTGATGTGCGAAATCTATTTTACAGGCACTGCTCGGCATAAAGCTGGAATAGATAGCAGGGGGGTTGTGACCGGACATGAGGGTTGAAACGTTCTCCCACTGACCTTGCACATACCTATACCCGAACTTTCCAGATACCCGTTGGTTCCACTAGATATATGAGGTGGGCCGGCACGCAACGGTAAATAACATGCGGCCGCTTTCATGGTCACATCGGAATAGTCATCACTGGCGAAGCCACGGATGCGGTATATATAATCTCCTTGGACAGCAACACAGCTCACAGATGACGCTCCTGATCCTGTGAGCAGCCTGTGTAAACAGCACCGATGCGTGTTTCCGAAACTTGCTTTCGCTGGACTTTGAACTTTGACGTTCAATATAACGGGTACTTTCAGTCGCCGGCGTCCAAACACTCATCGTAAGCCCCAAATTTATTTGTTTTCTGCCTCCTTGCTGAAAGCCTTGAAGGAAGCGTTATGAGCGGGATTTCGGCTTACACTGTACTATAATGGTATGATCCCAGACCGGCTCCCGTAGCTGTTACAAACCTCGACGGCCCTTCCAGCGATCAAATGTAC